CCCTGAAGAGTGATGAAGCCTCACGGCTAACATCATGGCGGTTATTGTTGGAGCTCTTCGAGTTAAGATTTGAATGTATCGGTCTTGTCTCCGTGTGGTGCAGCGATACCGTCCTCCATGGCGCTCAGCCACGGTACCAGTGCTTCGGTATCGTGTCCAAAGTCGACTGATAACACTCTGACTTGTATTCAGAGCTAAAGCCACAGTACGTTGCCGGGAACCAGCTTCTATCATTCCCACGGCTCTGAGCATTTCTTCCCTGCTTAAATGACGTCGCCGCTCCATAATAACGTTGGTTTTAATCAGTAGTAGGGAAACAGTAGCACTAATAATGTCTTCAAGCGCGTTGTATGTTTTTATAGGGAAAATATTGACAGCTGATTTTCATCTTTTACTCGAATTTGATTCACAGTTCCTGATTCAAATTATGAAATGCACCAAAAAGGATCCATATAAATTTATAAAATCATAAATTTATTACAAAGCCACATCTCAATCTCAAGAAATCCGCATAAAAATGCTTGATCCCTAGACACTTTTGATGTGTGTAGTTACACTTCGCGACACAAAAATAAATTAATATTGCCTAATTCTAGACTAAAACTTACGTTTAATTAATATATTGAAATTTATAACAAATTGCCTAATACAATAATGTATGAAAATAATTACTTAACATTTATAAATAAGTTAAAGGAATTTCCAATTAACAAATTTTATTATAATGTGAATCAATATTTCGTTGATAAAAACAGTAATTATCAATATACATATACAATCATTTTTTTTTATAATTGAACCTGATAATGATAATCTAAATAAAAAACCCATTATATCACAATCAACAACATATTATTATGAGTAGTGATGTGCCGAGTCGGTTATTTTTGGAATTCGGGTATTTTGGTACTCGTTAAAAAAAGATTCGAATAGGGTATTTGACAGTATTAAAAATAAAGTGACAATTGCTAGCATCTGTGTTAAGAATGAATATTGGCAGGGATTTTTACTATTTTTACAAAAAAAATATTCATAATTATACTAAAAACCCACGAAAAAAATAATAGTTTTCTTATCTATTTTCACGTGACCTAAAACTCATGGGATTGGCGGAGCCTAAAATGACGTCACACGCAAGTAAACTTCCGGTTAAAGTGACATTACATTGTATCGTTTGACGTTTTAATAATAGTCGTGTGACGTCACGCACTAGTAAGACGCCATATTGTCCAGAGAAACGTTTTCGCGGCAACTTGAAAATGGAGTTTTCGATTTGGTTATTTTCACTGAAATACACAACAGAATGATGAATATCCACTTTTTACGGACTCCATAAACATTAGTCAATAACGTGAGATCGTTTTCTAAAACTTGTCAAATACCCTATTAGGATTCGAGGCGGAAGACTCGGACAGGTATTCGAGTACTAGCACGAGTATTCGAACACTTTACTGGTCTCGAGTATTTTTTGAATCGGACCTTGTAATTTGCTTCATCATCATCATCAAAAATCATATTATATGAATGATAGGAAAATATGTTAATAATTAAATGTATAATCAGTCATTTATTAATATTATAATCATCAAATTAATAAGCTACTGGGCTATATTCTTCGAGTTGACCTGAATAACACTTTTTGACAAAAAAAGTAGGCTTGTAACGAATATTCGGTTACTATTCGGTATTCGGCCTATTCGGCTGCTTTTATTATATTCGGCCGAATACCGAATATCTACATATTATTCGGCCGAATACCGAATACTTAAATAATATATTTTGTCATAGACAAATAACATGGTATAACATGGTAAAATGAAAAATTTAAATCGATTGATTACGTATATATTCATATTTTCATTTCTGTTATATAATCATTTAAGTAGTCATTGGTACATAACACAGGTACATAATCAACTTCTGAATTGGAAAAATGGAGGATTCTATGCATTTGAATTATTGTGGTAATCAAAATTTAGAAGGGTAAGGTTCTCATTTCTTTTATAATCATTTATTAAGTAGTCATTGGTAAATAAAACAGGTACATAATTTAATCATTTTCTATATTCAACAAGTTAACAGTTTTAATTCACTCAGTCATGTGATGAATGGTTATATAATAGCAATAATTTAAAGTTTACGCGCCGTTTTTGGCCATATCTCAAAAGTTGGTTTTGTCATTTAGCCGCGTTTTAGCTTGAGGACGGCAGATTAGAACAAAACAAAGGAGCGCGAAACAATCACGTCTGTACAAGTTTTTGGCGCTAAAATCCAGCCGAATACTTTTGCCTAATATTCGGCTATTCGGTCAGGGGCCTCGCCGAATATTCGGTATTCGGTATACTGCCGAATACACTATTCGTTGCAAGATTACAAAAAAGTCATCAAGTCAAGTAATTGTCTTTTACGACTTTTCGCTGATACTTGGTCAATGTCATTTGATTGACTTTTAAATGATGATGCTAATGAGTCTAATAACTCTAAGTCCAAATCAGAACTCTTATCCAAGCTTTCGTTTGCATTTTGCTTACTTTTTGATGTGTGATATCTTTCCTCTCGCTTTCCTACAATTTGTGGGAGTGATTTCGTGAAATGGGACGGAAGTGCATAACAGGAAGTCGCGTAAGCGCGCCCTTTTTAAAAAAACATTTAAAATTAATATTACTAGAAATGCAAAGGTTAGGAATAACCACATGTGGTCGTATGGTAGCGGTTTCTACCGCTTTCTAATAGGTGTGTCACAATTTGTGTGTGTTAAATTCTGATGGGGAAATATTAATTCAGAAATTCAATATTAATCTAAATATTAAAAAGTAATAACAACAGTAATAATTAATAATTTTTGGTGAATGATAATCTTTATATATATAATTCTTCTGTAATACTAGCTGACCCAGCGAACTTCGTACCGCCTTAAAAAAATAGGGGTTGTCCAGCGGACAAAATTGTGAATCTAAACCATTCTCAGATCCCCTTGAACACACACAAAAAATTTCATCAAAATCGGTCCAGTCGTTTAAGAGAAGTTCAGTGAGATACACACTCACAGAAGAATTATATATATAAAGACATTATAATAATTTATCAATAATAATTTAATAATCTTTTTAATTTAATAAAAATATAATCTAATTTAATTCTCTTAATAATAAATTAATCACGTCACGTCGATGTCGTTTCACGTTACGCGCTTTCTAGGCAGAACTGAAAACCGGTGCTTTGCTCTCAGAGCAAAGGTATCGCTGAGTTTTTGCCTTTTTCTGTCGTTGCGGCACACAGTTACATACCTAGTAATTAATTGTTCTATTTTTTTACTTGAATTTGTGTGCTGTACTGATGGGAATAAATGATTTATCTATTTGATTTGATTTTAGAACATAATGTTCAAATGGCTTATTCCTTTTGTAGTAGGTTTTATTTCATTTTTTTTACTAATATAAGGTGAGGTTTCAAATGTTACACATCATACGCGACTACTGTAAGGCTCGCTCGCTTTTTTTTTTGTTATTATCAAACACCACGAACCAGTAGTGAATTTGCGATTTTTCAAATTAAAAATTCACACTCATTTATTCAGTGTAGGCTGTTACAAGCTCTTGTGAAAGTCAAACGCTACGCCATCGGTTCGTAAATCTACGGCGGGAGATCTTGTACTGAGAAGAACCGGCAAGAAACTCAGCAAGGGCTATTTTTTTCTCCCTGTTTTGTTTCATACATTGTCGTCAATTGAAAGATGACATCAAAAATTGAATACATGTGTTGATGTAAACTTCCATCACATTAATATTATTAATTAACAAAAGTTAAGTATAGCTAGGTACTATTTTTAAATTTAGAAGTGGCGATTAAACAATTTTCAACCAAATTAGCAAAGTAAAACGACAGTCTATTATATTAAGCCCAAGGTGACTTATCATTTATGAAATCTTTAACAGCATAGTAACCTTTCTTAAGGAGACATGTTTTTATACACACTTTAAACTTATTTTCGTAGGGCAACCCGGGACTTCTCGGCTTACATCATGAAACAATTGTTAATACTATCTGAGCAGTTCTGAAATTATCTCTGCCTACTACTAGACTGGTTCACAGCTCTAAGACTGATTCACTGGAGCGCCCACACATTCACAGGGAAGCGCCCGGTGCTCCTGCGCCGGGTACCGCCTTCCGATTGCCACACTTCACGATAAGTGAGATTATAGATAAAAATTACGACTTAATACTTTCGTGATCGGAGCCCATGATGTTCAATCTTTTTAAATTTTGTCTATTCCGCAATCAATTTTCAGCTATTCCCCAAGTCAATTTTCGCCTATTCCCCCAGTCAATTTTCGCCTATTCCCCAGTCAATTTTCGCCTATTCCCTAAGTAAATTTTCGTCTATTTCCCCAGTGAATTTTCGCCTATTTTCCAGTCAATTTTCGCCTATTCCCCAAGTCAATTTTCGCCTATTCCCCCAGTCAATTTTCGACTATTCCCCCAGTCAATTTTCGCCTAATCCCCCAGTCAACTTTCGCCTATTCCCCAAATCGATTTTCGCCTATTCTCCAAGTCAATTTTCACCTACTGCCTCAGTCAATTTTCGCCTATTCCTCAAGTCAATTTTCATCTATTCCCCCAGTCAATTTTCGTCTATTTCCCCCAGTCAATTTTCGCCTATTCCCCCAGTCAATTTTCATCTATTCCCCCAGTCAATTTTCACCTATTCCACAAGTAATTTTTCACCTATTTTCCAAGTCAATTTTCGCCTATTCCCCCAGTTAATTCTCGCCTATTCCCCCAGTCAATTTTCGCCTATTCCCCCAGTCAATTTTCATCTATTCCCGCAGTCATTTTTCACCTATTCCACAAGTAATTTTTCACCTATTTTCCAAGTCAATTTTCGCCTATTCCCCCAGTCAATTTTCGCCTATTCTCCTACTAAATTTTCGCCTACTCGCACAACTTTTTTCGCCTACCACCACAATTTTTGACCTACCTCCGCAACTTTTCTCACCTACCTCTTATATTTGGCCTGTTGCTTCGGGCCACCTTCAACGGCGACCACGCAGCACCCCCTGTGCAGTACGACAACACCCGTCATATGCAGTTGCTGAGCGTTCACTTCCACTTTGAATTTTGCAGATGCACACTCGAATAGATCTTGAATCCTGAAAAAAAAAGGTCTTATCAATAAATATAAAAATCAATTGCTGTTCGTTAGTCTCACTAAAACTCTGCTGAACGGACTTATCTTGGTCTTGAAATGTTCGTGGAGGTCTAAGGAAGGTTTAAAAGGTGAGAAAAATTCGAATACTACACTACAACTCTACACCGAAGCGAAGCGAAGGCGGGCCACTAGTCTTATATATTTATTAAGCATTTTTAACTGGTAGATGTTTAACTTTACTAGAAAACATTCCACGCGGACCAGGCGGCAGACGGGACTCGAACCCGCACTCTCCGTTATCCGAGCAGATGCACTGACCATTATGCTACCGCGATCCTAATTGACCGTGTCCAATTTTCTCTAGTATTTAAAAAAACTCGTGAAATTTTCTTTACATTTAAACATCTAGATATAAATGCTTAATATTTTTCTTTCAAATATTTAACAATTGTAAATGTAATCATTGTGGGTTACCTACAATGCGAAGAGATGGCGCTGCCTTGCAGCCTAAGAAGTACTAGAGAATATTCGACACGGCCATCAGGGCTGCGGTAGCGTAATTCAGCGTCAGTGCATCCGCCCGAATTTTCGATACCGATATATCGATATATGTATCGTTACGTCGATGTCGATATATCGATATTAATCGGTTTTCCGATATATCGTTGCACCCCTATTCGGAAGGCATGCTAAGCCGTCTGTCCCAACCGCAACTGCAGTCGTGAGCACCCACTCATAGTAACCGCATGGTGGGTCACGGCCTAAACTTCCTAGCCATCCATAGGGAAGGTCTGTGCCCCAGCAGTGGGGACATTAATAGGCTGATGATGTTGATGGATGACCAGTAACTCCCAGCTACTATTTATTACTCACCTATATACAGCTACGTGCACTCCTGTTGTTGTATCTTCACGAAGCTTTCTATCTACCTGTAGTAAAACACAAAAATAAGTCATATTTAGAAGGAACGGTTTTGCACGAAATATAAATCAAATCTATCTGCTCTGTGGATCATAAAACTACCAATCTCCATGTCCGAGAGATGTCAGAGAGAGAGAGAGAAAAATTAGTCAGATAAAATTGAAAGATATAAAGAAAAACTGGTTGTTTCGCTCAAAATTCAAAAAATTAAGTAAAAAATAAATCTATAAAATAGTTTATCAAAAAGTGAATAGATCAAGATTTGTTTTGCATAAGAAAATATTCAATTATCCAATTAATAGTACGTTTAAATGCGTTTTCGTAAACAGATTCATATATTTTAAGCTTCCCCATACAAAGCACCTATTCCCCGTTCCGAGCACCCGTTTCACTATAACAAGCAATAGACCCCCATACCAAGCACCAGTTCTCCCGTACCGAGCACCCGTTTCTCTATATCAACACCAGACGCCCATACCAAATACCCGATCCCTGTAAAAATAACCCGACCCTAGATACCAAGCACCTGATCCCCGTACCAAGGAGCCGACCCCCTATACAAAGTACCTGATCCCCGTATCAAGCACCCGACCTAACATACAAAGCACCTAATTCCCGTACCAAGCACATTCTCCCTTGTACTAAACACCTTTTTCCCCATACCAAACACTCTATCCCCCGTACCAAGCAACCGATCTCCGTACCATGCCCCTGGTTCCCCTTACCAAGCTCCCAATCACTCATACCAAACACCCTTTCCACTGTGTACAAGTTCCTAAGTAACAAACAACCGATCCCCGTTATAAGCAACCGATCCTCTCGTACCAAGCACCCGATCTCCCATACCAAGCACCTTATCCCCCGTACCAAGCACACTCACCTTCTCCCTCTTCTGCTCCTTAGTGAGCGCCCTGGCCTTGTTGGCCTCCACGTGCGTCTTCTGTCGCTTGGCGATCTGCTCGCGGACTTTAGCCTCTATGGCGGTAGGGTCTTGCACCGCTTCAGTGCCCAAAGCACGCATTAGATTCGATATCCTGGTGAGAAAAATGAAAAAAATAAACATAAATAAATATTTATTTTACATAAATGACGGGCACCAGGTGGCGGTACTAAACCGCAAGGTTTACGCATCTGTCAAAACACGTATGTTATATGTATATATCTTATAGTAATATTATGTGTATATATTATGTATGTATGGTATGTTTATATATTTAATATATCTTAATATATATAAATCTCGTGTCACAATGTTTGTCCTCAATGGACTCCTAAACCACTGAACCGATTATAATAAAATTCGCACACCATGTGCAGTTCGATCCAACTTGAGAGATAGGATAGTTTAAATCTCAAATTATAGTCGCAATTTTAATTTATTGCAAATTATTACTTTTGGGCGGTACGAAGTTCGCCGAGTCAGCTAGTATAGTTATATACATTTTTATATCCTTTGTATCTTTTATAACACCACCGACTCCAGTTTCATTCAATCCTCTCCATCCAAAGGTTGTCTGGAAGAAATCGCTTTTAGCGATAAGACCGCCCATTGAATCACTGTTTAAACATAATCTATTTACCCCATTTATGTACTGTACTGTGGTGTTTCAATAAAGAATTGTGTATTGTATTGTATTGTGTACGTCGTCACATTCTATGGAAGTCAATGAGGGCTACCGTTTTCTGCCTCACCAGATAGCGCCACTGTTGAGTGAGGTCCTAAATTGTAACTTTTAAAGTTTATTAATACGCACATGAAATCAAAGGTTACATTTAGATCGTATTTTAACACAAAAGAACCATATCCTAAACATAATAGGCCATGCCACAGTGGCGCGCAGTTCCGTTTTATTCGGAAAAAATGGGAACATAATCATTTTTCTAAGCTCAAATTTTTAATAACTGACATTCATTGCCACATAACTCATATTTGCCATAATTAAGCCGAATTGTTACCAATTATTCACAACATTATTTTAATTAGAAATATACCCGCGTAGTCAACCAACAAGCAATAACATTTGACATTTCGGAGACCTCACGCTACACTAGCGCCTCTAGCGGCGGATTCATACGCGATAGCCCTCATTACCCTCATTACAATGCTCGTTCGATTAATTCGCGCCAAAAACTTTATACAAAAGACTTAATTGCACAGTGGCGCCAACTGATGCCCTAAATATCCCTAAACAACTTCATTAACCCAGCCCCAAAGCAAGCACTGCTTATATTATGGCATACTAGTATATAGAAAACATTCATATACAAAGTACAAATCTCGTGTTCATCACACAAACATTTGCTGCAGCAGGATTGGAACCCAAGACCTCTGAGTAGGCGAAACCTTGATAACCGGTGTGAGTATATACCAATCCACAATGGTGAAGGTTAAATTATCAATCTATACTCAATATTTATATATATAAAACTCAAAGGTGACTGACTGACTGACATAGTGATCTATCAACGCACAGCCCAAACCACTGGACGGATCGGACTGAAATTTGGCATGCAGGTAGATGTTATGACGTAGGCATCCGCTAAGAAAGGATTTTGATAAATTCTACCCCCAAGGGTATAAAATAGGGAATGAAAGTTTGTATGAAACTTTGTCAATTTTAAACCGATCGGGCTGAGACTTTGCATGCAGGTGTAAGAAGAATCATAGATGAATGTCATTGTGTATAATACAAGCCTGAGAACAAAAACTGTAGTCTACACTTCAGCTCTACACCGAAGCGAAGCGAGGGCGGGCCGCTAGTTATTATATGAAACGAATTTAATGATTTTTGTGTAGGTTAGTCAAACAGAACACAGGAAGATATTACGAGGGCTTTGTGGGCGGGGCAGACGCGCCACAGTTATGTGTGAGCAAATGCTCACAACTTGATCAAAACTTGCTTCTGATTGCGTAGTTGCTCTCTCTCGTGAATAGTTCGATTGTTTAATGTCGCGCCTTTAATAGGGGTGACGACGGGGTACAGTAAACGAAATTCTATTTAGTCCGTCAGTTAGATGATCAAAAAATAATAGACACGTATTTTTTCCTTGGGCAATCAACCAAAAAATGACAAAGTAATAGCGCGTCAAAGTTTGGGAGTAGGGGCTCGTGACGTCACTTTTGAGTGAATTTTCACTTATAAGTGTACTCAAACGTGACGTCATGCGATTTTTCAAATCAATATATCTCTGCAATGATTATATTATGTGAAAAAAGAAAAAATACGTGTCCAATACTTTTTGATAATCTACCTGATAGACGAAGAAAAAAAAATTAGTCATCATTCCTATTGGCTATTACCTATTAGGTGTAGCGGGGGCGAGCCGGCGACATCGGTTCCCGTACAAACAGTCTCTAATCACCTTTCTAACTTCTTTCAGTGATTAGGCCATTTATTAAGAAAGGCTAAAATCTAGTCATCTGGTCTCTCCTTTCATTTTAAAATACGAGGGCGGGACGATAAGTAACTAGCGTCTGCTATTTAAAAAGTTAAAATTTTAAAAATATATATGTCATTTTTAAATTCATATCTCTGACCACCATCCATTTTGAAAACAGTTGACGAAATATATTTTCAAATGACAAAAAAAAAATGAAATTTTCGCGCCACCGCATTCAAATTTAGAACACAGGTGGCCAGAGATACGAATTTAAAAATGACATATATTTTTTTAATTTTAACTTTTTAAATAGCAGAGGCTAGCTACTTATCATCCCGCCCTCGTACAAATTCTAATATATAATATTCTCGTGTCGCGGTGTTAGTGGTTAAACTCCTCCGAAACGGCTCGACCGATTTTCGTGAAATTTTATATGCATATTCAGTAGGTCTGAGAATAGGATGTAATCTATTTTTCATCCCCCTAAATGTTAAGGGTATTTTTTTTTTCAATTTTAGATATATTTTTTTAAATTTTTTTATGATACATCATACAAAAATACATACAACCCTAAATTTTCACCCTTCTACCACCAACCCCTATTTTTTTATGGCGGTACGAAGTTCGCTGGGATAGCTAGTAGCCATATAAAGTGCTAGCATGTTCTGATAGTCATCTCACCTGAGCTTGGGTTCCGGCGGTGCCTCCAGCCCTAATCTGACCTTCTCCTGCTCTTCCTTCCAAGCTTCTCTTCTGCTCTGCCGACGCAGTTTCTTCCTCTCCTTCTTTGTGAGGAACACTGGCATGTAGGTGGGCTTTAGAGGCTCGGCTGCACAACAAAACATCATCATCAGTCTATTAAGGTCCCCACTGCTGGGGCACAGACCTTCCCTATGGATGGAATAGGGAGATTAGGCCGTGACCCACCACGCGGTTACTATTGGGTGTTATGACTGCAAGCAGCTGTTACCAACGGCTTAACGTGCCTTCCGAAGCACGGAGGAGTGAGAGATAATCAATTTTTGGTCACCCATCCGACGACCGGACACTGTGAAAGTTGTTTAACCTCCAGTCATCCATAGGCCATCGAGCTCATACGAAGCAAGCATAATAGGGATGATGACGGGGTAAAGTGAACGAAATTCTATTTAGTCCGTCAGTTAGATGATCAAAAAATAATGGACACGTATTTTTTCTTTGGGCAATCAACCAAAAAATGATAAAGTTATAGCGCGTCAAAGTTTGGGAGTAGGGGCTCGTGACGTCACTTTTGAGTGAATTTTCACTTATAAGTGTACTCAAACGTGACGTCCTGCGACTTTTCAAATCAATATATCTCTGCAATGTTTATATTATGTGAAAAAAGAAAAAATACGTGTCCAATACTTTTTGATAATCTACCTGATAAACGAAGAAAATAAAAATAGTCATCATCCCTATTGTGAAGCTACATAAAAGTCAGATGGGTTTTAACGCCACATACATGTAAAGGCAGTTCACGGCTAAAATAAGCCTAAGTACCACTTTCCTCGTATTGTTACAAACGCTCTCGAATACCAGATTGACTGGACTTGGCTGGATAGTCCAGCTATTTCACACGTTGTCCAGTGTCCCGGTTTTAGGCAAAATGTCCAGCTAAAACGAAGCTGAAAATTAAAACCCACCAGTATTAGTGGTTTTTCCACCGAGTTGGCAACACTGGCTCCGCTGCGGCCTCTCGCTATCTGTGCCCGGGATTGAATTCAATAATTCGATTGAACTTTGACGAAATTTGTAAATACAGATAAAGGTTCTAAAATGATAAATGCGGCTAAAGGAAATGCTAAATATATGTGGCAAAAAAGTTATTTCATATTAATTTTGTTTAATTAAGGTTCCTCTGTTTTGTAATAATAAGATTTTTTTATAGTCATGCTGATTTTTTTTGTCCAGCCAAATATCCGAATGTCCAAATATTTTATAATATTGTCCAGAAATTTTGATTTCTCAATCTGGTAACCGTGAAAGTGCTAGAGATCGAATGTGCCAGAGCACCGCGGGTCGCGATGGAGGTCGAGTAATGCGGCTCATTCTAAAATGAGCCTCATGCAGTGCGGCGTAAGGGAGAAAGTGCAACGACATCTGCACTTGTTTACAAGTTATGCGCGTTACCTGCGTAGGTATAAGTAGGTACTTTGTACTCGCGGGTGCTAGCTTATTCTCAATTTAACAGGTACTTTCTGGAATGCGTCGATCGGCGTATATAAGCGCGATTGGCGCCGCGCACAGACAGTTAGTTGAGTTTCAACAGCGATTTCGGAGCGAATCCAAAGGCGATCAAAGTGCAACAAAAGTGTTCAAGTGCGATAGTTTAGAGACTTGTATAGTGAAATACAGTGTTTAGTGAGTGTTTTGTAATTAACATTGTGTGTTAATTGTGTGAACTGAGTGGTGAATAAAGAACTGTCAAGCGTGAACTGGCATATAATTTCGAACCCCATCCCGACACGTAACATTATTATAATCGTAGCTGACAGTCGGCGAAACTTTTTAAAACTACCGAAAAATCATTTAACTATTTATTTATTTTAAATTGAAAGTTTAATATTGAACTCCGACTTCTTTCAACCAAAATTATTTACGTTTTTATTTATTTTTAAGCATTTAACTGCTAGATGTTTAAATCTAAAGAAAAGTTTACTAGAAAAAAATCCACGCGGACCAGGCAGCGGACGGGACTCGAACCCGCACCCTTCGCAACCCGGGCGAATGCACTGACCATTATGCTACCACGGCCCTATTGGCTGCGTCGAAATTTTCCTAGGCAGCGCCATCTCTTCGCATTGTAGGTAACCCACAATGTCAAATGAATACTTTTTCAAGTATTAAACATTTGAAAGAATAAATAGCAATTATAGTTATGATTTTATTTATTTTTAAGCATTTAACTGCTAGATGTTTAAAACTAAAGAAAAGTTTACTAGATTTTTTTTTGTATTCTAGTAAACTTTTCTATAAAATTATTTATTTTCGATTTAAATTTTTAAATCAGTGTTAGTGCAACCAAATAACACGTTATAGTTAATAATTCATTAAGAATTCCTCATGCTATGACAATAAAAATCTATGATAATGTACTTAATAATACAAAGAACGTAGAAATATCTGCCAAATTCAACAATCAATTAAAATCATATTTAATCCAAAAATGTTTTTATAATTTAAAAGATTTTTTGGACGACAAATGTAATTAATTTTTAAAGTTGACATTTTCATTATTATTATTGCTTATTGACATTGTTAAATCTTGTTTATAAAATTGAATTGTTTGTTGTGTAAAAATTTAATTATTATTATTGTTGTTTATCGAAATTGTTAAATCTATTTTATAAAATATAATTGTTGTGTAAAAATGAAATGTGAACTAAGTATTGTAATATAATTATTTAACAAGCCCTCTGGCTTGATATTTGCTATGCCCTTGCAGGGCGTCACATATTTACTTTAAGTACATAAATTAATGTACCACCATGAATGTTATGTGACATGCAATAAATAAAAAAAAAAATGTATGGCAATAGACTTTATGATGTCGCCTACCATCTACATTAATTGTCTGAGCACATTTGCGTCTAGTGAAAATGAGAATGTAGTTGTGGATATTAATACCACAGTGTAATAAAAAAAAAAAAAAAATATCGATCTTTACAAAATAGATTTGTTTTTATGTTATATAAACAACTTCGATCAGTCTTTGACTGAATGTTACTACACCCATAGCCATTAAAAATGATTCGCATGTTTTCAAAACCGGTAAAATTAAAAGTCTTTTTTAAAGTAAATATATTATACAAAGGTGTCCGTTGAAATCTAATGACTGTAAATTAAATTATAAATTACGCCAAGAATAACCGTGTATGTCAATATTTTTGTGCATTTGGGCCAATTTGAGCAATCTCCTTTTTAATCAGTGTTAGTGCAACCAAATATCACGTCAAGGTTAATTAATAATTATAGTAGGCTGGGTATTTTATGCGTGAGAGTTCAACTGTTGAGGACTCGAAATGCGTGTTTGAAGTCAATAATTAATTTCATATTTTATTAGCAAAACCTTGATGACCCTAACCAAAATTATCTGGCAATTTAATATCATTGTTTAATTATAATACAGACAGTTCTAAGAAGCGATAACCTCGGGGTTTTACGTTGACGGAATACATGTTATTGTTACCGGATATGCTTGTCATTATCTTTTACGCAGTTACTTTTTCGGGTTGTGTAATTAAAAGGGTAAAATGAACACTGTTGCTGTCAGTCTGTCGTCTGTCCGTATGTCACGGGTCTCTAGATCGTGAACGAAATTATTTTATGGAGAATGCTTGCCCAAAGGCGAATAATTAGTTAAAAATTTAATAAAATTGATTTTCATTGTGGTCCCATGCATGAAAAGGAGACAAAAATATACAGGGTGGTCCAACTAGTGACGTCAACAATTTTTTTAGATTCCTCGCACCTGGGGGTATCCGAAAATACCCCATGTATGTTCCGCGATTTTTCTTAGTTTTCGAGTTATATTTTTTTTTGTATATGTATTTTCTTTTTTAACCCCAGTATGTGACACATACTGTTTACACATACACACATACATACTGTGTACACAAACAGTATATGACATATACTTTATTGTCTAAAGCTCGTTGAGTAGAATATCACTGGAAGTTTGTTTTGTTTAAACTAATCAAGTCACAACTTGTTAATGCTCAGAGATTGATGCATTTATTGACACGTTTGCTAGCGTCTAGTGAGTCATGTTATTCATTTATTATCGATGCCGTCAGAAAGAGCGAAATGAAACCCTTTAAAAACCTCTAAATTGATTCAAACCCTATTTAATTTCGCTCTTTAGGAAAAACGGTTTTTTAAGGTTAAGGTAGAGCCAAACCTAAGTAAAACGCTTCTAATGTACTTGACACTGATTTAGGTTTGAAAATTAACCGGTAAACAAGCCCTGGTTTTTATTATGTTTTATTTTCGAAAACAAAGAAATGGCGGGCTGTCAACGTTGTCATTTTTAGACCACTTCTGTTCGAATTTGAGATAGATCTCAAAATCGAAACTTATGAATGTGACACTTTGGTATATGATATCCCAAATAGTAATAATTGTAAGTTGTGACTAAAACAAACAAATGATGTACGGAACCATTCGTGCGCGAGTCCGAATCGTACTTGGCCGGTTTTTTTGTTTTTTTTTCAATTTTCAAATTGTTTACTACAGACAACAAAATGGTCCATCAAATCGTTAGTAACAATATTTAACTGAAATGCTATGTTAGTATATATTATTTCTAGGATTCAATCGATGTGTGTTTTTTTAAATACTGAAATTGTATTATATATAATATAAAAAGTAATCTAAACCAAATGTCAAACAAAATTAATTTATGTAATTAATTAATATTCTACATTTAAAGTCATATAATTTAAAATATCGTGTAATATAATTTAATGTACTTAAATGTCAAAGAATTCAAGTGAATTTATTTAATTATTTAATGTTCAAATAAGGACAACATGATCAAAATATGTTAGTAGATACTTAAATTATGTTAGTACTCTTTTAGGCGTTATTAAACGCCTTGAAAATTACTCAAGCTAAAGTACTGTAAAAGTCATGAGGCACTTCGTATGGCGATTAGTGATTAGGGCACGGAAGCGCTCCTACAAGTTCCTGGGTTACAGGCCAGGTAGGGACAGGAGGAATTCCGCCTCTATTATGACCAGAGTTAGAGTTGAAAATCGTACGTTGAGTACAGTGTAGTTAAGGTGTAATTTTCTTGCGCAGTATCGC